AACACTTTTTACTCCTGTGTTGAAAAATGAGTCTTACATCATAATAAGAGGTTGGGATGATCAATACTTTGATTGATCCTGATATAACTAAACTACACCAAAGGTTGTAGACAGTGAAATGAATCTGAAACCAACACTTGGCTGTCTTTGTAATGGGATTGATTCCATCACTGTGAAACTTGTCACGTTTACAGTCGATTCCCAAAATAGAGGTACAAGCATCACTGCATCCCTGAGAGATGGTGGAGGATTCGGAGGAGATGATTCATTTAAAGAAACTTTAACATTTCTTGGTTCATTTTCTTTTATAATTTCATTTTTTTCCCCACATATTTGACTTTAAGAGAGCAGTAAACATGCATGTATGGTAGATATTGCAGGATTACACATGGATGTGAGCTTGGTCTTTTATTTGTAACAGCTAAAGACTTCCTGAAAGTTGACGTGCATCCACTGACTGACCGGAGCCAGTGTTTCACTGGTGAAATAGTGGTAATTTGAGTGTCCTACAAAACCTGTGCGGTGACATTTAAAGGCTTGTAGAAACAGCTTTGTCAATAATAGAAAAATATGTCGTAGCTATTTTGTGATGGTGTGAGAGTTACAGCCAATTTCATACCTGCCTGTCATACACCAATTTGTTGTGAATTGTAAAAACTGCAGGCACGTTTAGTTGTGATTTATTACTTGGATCGTTTAATATGTTTTTGAACATTAAAGTCACAGTGATTTCCACTTTTTAATCACTTTTACTTTTCAATAAAAAGTCTTAAAATGTGCAACTCACCGCAAGCCATTCAAACACAAAACCTTTACAAATACTTTAGTAACATGTAACGTGTGGCGTCAATCGCAGCTGAATCGAATCTACTGCACTCCAACATCTCACTGGATCACGGTGCACAGTTTTGTGCGTGTGTCCTCTTTCTTTTCAGCCAAACACTACAGCAGCTGTTTTTGATGAGTCACACCTTCCACCACAGAGGAAGAACAGATTGTTCTCCCGTAATCATTGGAGAACAGTCGCTTATGTCGGTCTTTCGGCCTGTGTGACACAGGCTGGAGAGAGAAAGTAAAAATCATTTTGTTTTCGGGGTGGACGAGGCGTTGCGATCACGATTCTGTGTGAGGCAGATGCAATCTGAAAAGGTCAAGCACCTCTGCAGAAGATTACAACTTCCAAGGATGGACTTACAATCTTATCAGGTGGAGGGGTGCTGGCGATGTAACATTTGATCTCCCCTCTCTCCCCTCTGACAGCGTACTGAACCGGATCACTGGAGATGATAGGGGGGCCTGAACGGGTGAGATAGCACCAGGCAAAGAGAAAGAGAGAGAGAGAGGGATACATGCACAGAGAGGAGGATTACTACAATGAAGAAAAACTGTCATTCATAAAAATCATATTAATTCTTAGAATTAAGAGAGAACCCCAAAAAGCAAATGAGAATTTTTTTTTTCTTATATAGTGTCTGCTATTAGAGGACATTCTTCGGCACAAATAATTGCTTTATTAAGGAAAGAAAAGGTGTATTCTCTAGTATTAATACATCCCACAGACAGTTCTTCAACCTCTATACCTCTATATTTCAGACTGCATTGATTATAGTGTTTCCTGACTCTGGCTATGTGCTCGAAGATTGTACACAAAGAGTTTTAAAAAAGGCCAAGAAAAGCTGAAAGATGCATTCAGAGTCTGGTCATGCAGAAAATCCGTGAAATGTCTGTTGCAGGTGGGTAATTTTAATGGTAACAACAACTCTGAGCAAGTTGCAGAAAGATTTTGCTGTTATCTACTGCTTTTCACAAAAACACTCTGAGCAAAGTCACTGAAAACCTGCTCGCTGCAATACTGTCACTCTCTATCACAGTGAATGAAAGACTGTTAACACAGCAACCGCACTGCAGTGCTCTCCTTTTCAGTAATGAAACCGGGCTAATAAAAGTAACACGCATGTAACGGCGCTTGCTCAAAATCAGAGTGGAAAATAAAGTTAATGTGAGGAAAATATTTAAAGCACTGACCTCTGTATTGATTCACAAATTGAAAATAACATCCAGTCATCTTATTTTCAATTGTCATGCATGGATTTAATTACTGTGTTTCTGGACTTGACTGCAGTGGTTTTAATCATCAGTTCGAGCTCTCGCAACTGAATCCAGCTGAGGAAAAAACTCTGCTGCCCGGATTTTGATACTGGTACTAAAAAAAATGATTCACATTACTCCAGTGCTGGCAAATTTGCGCCGACTGCCTGTTAAATTCTCTATTGATTTTAAAATTTTATTAATTACTTTAAAGAACTAAACGGCCTTGCTCTGAAGTATATCAAAGACCTATTAACACCATATATGTCTCTCAATTTCCGCAGATTGGAGAAAGAGGCTCTGCTGTTTGCCATTGGAGCTGCCCGTGGATGATAACTTTTTAGTGTCTTTCATCTCTCTCTGTTCTTTGTTATTTCTCTTTTCTGCCATTTTGTTGCTATTTTAAACTCATTTAGCTTATTTTTATGTAAATATTATATTTGTAAGTTGATCAAATGTATGACACATGCAATCGTCAGATTAAAGTGTGATGCTGAACTATGAAACCAAAGCTGGTGTGCTATACAGTAACCGTGCTCTGCAGAAGTATAAATAGCTCCACTAAAACAATGCATCATGCTTTGCAGTGAGTCATGGGAACGAGGTGGATGGTACAAATACTTTACTGTGTTCACACTAAGTGTCTGATTAGTGAATGAGTGCCAAAATAATCACCAGATCATTAATAAAATGAAAAAAGCTTTTAGCTTTTCAGTTGCAAGGACATGCCAGTGATTTTCTTTTCTTGTTTGACCAGGAACTTGGCTATTTAGTGAAGATTTAAGGGGCATTTGTGAACTCTCTTTTTATCACTGTGTTCTTGGTGAATCAGTTTTGATTTATTAAGTACCTGCTGGCTGCTCTGTGAGATTTTGAAATATTGGGTTTTGGCCTGTTCATGACTGAAAAATTAGCTGATTAGATCATTTGGGTCACGCCGGAATAAATCAGGTCGGGTCGACAGGCCCGTACAGTACTGTGCTCCATTCGCTCAGTCTCTTCAGCTGTCAGAGCGATTCAGATAGATGCATGCTTACATTTAACACTAGATCAAATAAACACATCCTGCAGGTCTGTGTGGTTTCATTATTAAGAATTAGGGCTGTGCTTTGTGTAGGGAGATCTCTTTACAAATGTTGTGAGTTTTGCTAATATCGACACTTTTCTTGATAATGCAGAGTAAGTGAAGATTAACTGACCGTTGACAGTGAGCGTAACCTCGGTCTCTCCCACGCCAATTCGGGGCACGATGGCCTTGCAGACATACTGGCCTGCCTCAGCCTGGCTCACTGCTTTCAGATGCAGTTGGTTGTTGTTGCTTAGCACCTGGACGCAAGCACACAGGTAGGGAAAAAAACAGGCTGATGAAGAGGAAAAGAACAGAGATAAGCAGACTGGAGAGATGTTAAAAAAGGAGGTTGGAGGGAAGATGATCTATTTTTAATTCATATAGCATGTTGATTTACTTGGAGGGCACCATTAGTTTTTTTTCCCCTCAAGCTTTTTTTAACTTGTTAGCTAAAAATTAAAAATTTAAGATGGCTTTACAACTGAGCAAACATTAACAAAATCTAGGTCCTTAATATAGATGTGCTTATATATTATATGGTTAGGACTACAACTACATTAGCTGTTCTCACTTTATGATTTATATATTTCTGTAATTAATAAGTATTTATAGAAATAATACTTTAATCCATCATGAATGGGTGATCTTAGATTTAAGTTCAAAGGTAAAAATGTCTTTTTACCATGCTGGAACCCTTTTTAGTCCAGGTGAGAGTGAGAGGAGGGTTTCCAGACCACTTGCAGTTCAGAGTGACATCTGCGTCCACATCCACTGTAACCGGCCTGGGCTCCACTACCAGTATGGGGCCAACTGAAAGAAAATAGCAATCCGATCACCAAATGAGCAACAAAAGGGTTCCTACCAAAGTCAAATGTATTTATATAGCTCCTTTCATACAAAGAAATTCAATGTGCTTTACAAAGACAAAAAGCAAAAAGCATTAGGACAAAACAAAAATACAATAATTACAATTATATTTTATGTAAAAGGTACAAAAACAAAATAGTTTTTAATCCGGATTTCAAAAAACTAATAGATTCTGCGCACCGAAGACCAGAAAAGCACTTTAAAGCCTGTTTACACTGCTTTGGTAGTTTTTGCACAAATTTTAAAATTCCCTTTTTAGTCTTTAAGGTTTACAAGTCTACATGCCCTTGCATCAGACGGCCTCTGAAAATGCTATTGTTTTATGAACTGGGAATGCCCCGCAGAGTCTCCGGTTCTTCTCTTTTATCTGTTCCTCAAAGCAAAACAACAAACATGTAGTGATGCTTTCAGCCATTACACTTCAAGCCACAGCATTACAGGGAGGTCAGAAG